GGGGCTCCTGGCCTTACTTCTAGGAGCAAGAAGCTAGTAGTAACAAGTGCATCGCTTCTAGTAACAGTGGGTTGAACTACGAGCGGCCGACTCGTCGCCCGGGACGGTTCGTCGGGCTCTTTATGAAGAGGTCGTGTTGCTCGGGCGGTTTTGAGGTGTTTCCTGTGGAGAAACGGTGTTTGTTCTTGTTTCTAATCGCAAACATTGTTACTACTAGTAAGGCACTTGTTACTAGAAGCGATGCAATTGTTACTACTAGTAAGGCACTTGTTACTAGAAGCGATGCACTTGTTACTACTAGCTTCTTGTTGCTAGGATAAAGAGTTTCTGATTTGTCATTGACGCGTCCCTCTCTTTGACTTCTTTCCCGGATGTGTATCTCGAGAAGCCAGAAGGACGAATGGGAAAGAATCCACCGAAAAATGGTTTCCAGCAAGTCACTCAGCATCCTTTGAATCTATCCACAGGCCCAGGGATGTCCCATCCACCTTTTTCCTGCACCCTTTTTGCCGTGTTTGTCTCGTTGGGTTTGGGTGCATGTTCGGTACGCGTTCGCTACGGCCTGAGGAGTTTGGATGGCACTCGCTTGGAGACTCTCAAGGCCAAAAAGGCCCGATCAAGTGCCCCGTTCCTAGCGTCCGATCGCTCCTAGTAGTAGAGCCAGGAGCCCCTACTGGCGAACACTGTTCCTAGTAGTAAGGCCAGGGAGCCCCTAGTAGCTTCTTGTTACTAGTAGCAAGGCCAGGAGCTACTGCTATCTCTCTCGTTCCTTCGCTATGTCGCTCGTCTTCATGCACAGTGATCATGTGCCCATGTGAGGATGTTTGTGACGCCAGGATATCATCCTTCTAGTCCAAATTTCCGAGCAAACAGGTGCGGCGACGCTTTTACTGCCCCTGTCGGGTCCAAAAGCGCACGCACTTCTCGTGTGCGGTGCTTCTGCCGTCGAAGGAAGCAAGTGAAGCAACATCGGCTCCGTTTTGGTTCAGTTCAACGTCAAGAGAAAGAAGGAAAGAAAGAAAGGAAGGAAGGATGAAGGAAGGTTCAGAAGTCTAAAGAATTAGATTTAAAACACATGAAAGAGAAGAAAAGTCCGGACTTGCTGGAGGTGGACACAAAATGGGGCACCCTAAAAACCCTCCATGATCAGGTCAGCACCATCCGAACCGCCAATCATATCGTGGCGAGGCCGCCGTCGGGGCTATGTGATCCCTCAACCCGCTGAGATTCACGAAGCTGGTTGGATCTCGCTCGAGGACACTCGTGTTGAACAAAAACATGTGTGTTTTCAAATTCAATCAAGGTGTGTTGTTGTTTGTGATTCCTTTCGTTTTTTGCCTATTTGCTGGAGGATCTTCGGAGGATGTTTCTTGCCACAAGTAATTAGCTGTGCGACGACTTGAGGATGTCCAGCGGGGGAAATCCATGCAGCCGCCCTTGCTCAGACTGGAGCTACCAGGCTTTGGACTGGATTCCTCAGACAGCAAGATGAGCCGATAAAGGAACACACTATTGCACTATATATAATTATATATATATTTGTTTTCTCTATGTTTTTAGATATATTTAAGTTCCTCATTCTCTCTCATGCCACATATATCTTGATGTATTGGGTATGTCACATGTCTTCTTTTATACTCTTTTGTGGTTTTAGTTTTTCTTTTAGTCTTGCATTAACAGGCTCTCTTGAATAGATGCACATGAAGATCTACAAAACGAGCCTGTCGCCAGGTTCATGGGATCTCAAGGCACGCTACTGCGTGCAAAATCCTGCTACGTTGCGAGCAGGTGAGGATGACATCTGCTCAAAGTGTTCATGTCCAGATTGCCTCCTGAGTCACTGAAGACGCCTTGTTCGTTTGGCTCACACCTGCTTGCTTTGGTAACCAAACGAACAAGGCTAAGGAGACTCATGATGGTTTGTCACCTCAGGAGTCCGTTTAGTGTGTGTGTGACACACTCTGGCGCCGATGAATTCTAGGCACTCGTTTCTATCCAGAATCTGTGGTTTTGATTCTGGATATCATGTCATATCACCATTTATCAAACTCCAATTTTCATCTCGCATGAAACCCCTTCCGGCCACATGGTCTTGAGAGAGTTGCATCAGGACCAGCCCTAGACAGCGACTGGATCGGCGAATTAAACGCAGGATGCGAGGAGCTTTCCTTAGAATTCAAGCGATTTTGTTTTCTTTTCTTTGGTGTCCCAAGAAGTCTGCTGTTTTCAATTAATATAGCGTTCTTTTGGAACGCCCTTTGTTTGAGGTGCTCCTCTTGGACTTTGGCGTGACTTCTGGTGGTTCCAGTGGACAAATTGGAAAGGCCCAGCTCGGGCTGGCGTTGTCTTCGGTCCCGCCTTTGGTCGCCAACCGAACGTCGAAGCAGCGCACCGGTGTTTTTTTTCGTGTCTAGGCGCGCCTTAGAGCCCTGGTCTTCGCGGGCGACAAGATTGGATGGCGGGGGCCTGGATTTCGAGTGTTTCACGGATTTCGGGCAAACGCATTGAATGCATCTTGGAAGCCATCACTACTAAGTTGGATGGAGGCCATTGCTGCTAGGTTGAAGGCCATCGCTAGTAGGTTGGAGGCCGCTTAGCCTGATACGTTGAACATACTTCAACTCGCTCTCCGTGGTGGGAATGTGATCCAAGGGGGCCAGACGTGGGGGATGGTTGTAATGACCAAACCCTTTACGGTTTGAACGATGTGATAGTGCCAGACATGCCAGGATGAGCCCTGAAACGGGCTCCGGGGATCACTTGCTGAAGCCGGTGAACCTGCTCAGCAGAAAGGCACCAAGCGAAGGAAGATGCAGAAAACAAGTGGGCTAAAAGGCAGTGCTCTTTGCAGGTTATGGTGGAAGAGCTTCGTTAGAACGGAACGTGCAAGAATCACACCCCTACTATTATTGTGTCAAAGGTTTATCTTTTTGCCAGCTGGAAGCGACTGCTTGGATCAGCTGGGGAAATCCAAGCAGCCTGACTTTGCTCGCAGGTAGTGGACATGCACAAGCAGACCTTGCGCTCATCGGGCTCAGGCATCACTGGCAGTGGGGTTTGCCAATTCCAGTCAATTCCGAGTGAAGATCATCCGTCTCAGGTGTGCGCAAGTCCTATCAGCAAGGTGGCAACAATCCATGGGAGGTGAGGTGTGCACTTTCTTCCGATTCTCAGCTTCTTGGGTTTTCTTGGGTTCTGGTTTAAAAGGTCTAAAGCACGGAAAGAAGGATTCAAGCTTGCAAGGGGTAGAAAAGAAAAAGAAGAGAAACATCGTCATAGGAAAGGACAAAACGAAGAAACCAAAAATGATCAAAACTCTAAGGGAAATCACGACAAGAAAGAAACATAAGTGACGACAAACAACGGAACATGTGATTTTCCTGGAGTGAAAGACGTCGCAATAACTGAAAGACACCAAAAGCGGCCAAAAAGGTCTAGGCATTCAATACCCGGTTCGAAAGAAATTCGATCCGTGTCCTTTTTTAGAGTAATCCAAATTCACAAGCCATTTTCCGTTTTAATCTAAAAGAAACACTTTACCTTGTTGACTTCAGCTTGTTTTCAACATGCTTTCTTTCTCTGGTTTCTTCCCATTTGTTTGTTTCCTTTCAGCGGCCCCAGGCCGGTGCAACCTACCGGATGTTGGAGAAGACCCCCTTGCGGAGCGGCTCAGACCTGAAGAGCTCCGAAGTGGGCAAGGCCGGGTAGCAGGAAGGGTACAGAAGAAGCCATCCTCCAACCGAATAGAGCGTCCTTGCTCCTAGTAGCGATGCCCTTTGCTCCTAGTAGCATCCTTGCTCCTAATAGCAATGGCCTCCAACCTAAGAGCGATGGCCTCCAACGGAGTTCTCAAGTGGAGCTTTTCATGTGTTTGTGGCTCAAGTTTGGCATGGTGCTGTCATGTGCTGTCCTCAGCCTTTTTCACCATGCTGACTCATAAGGTGTTCATAGCTGCGAAGTCATGAACCCGAAAGGTTCAGGTTTGGAATGCCCCAGGTAGTTACTCAAAAAGGTAACGTGAAAGAGTACATGAAAGCTGTCAGGTCACATGAGTTTTGTTCTTTTTAGATCTCCAAATGCTTCCGTAGCCATTTTGGCTCAAGAGACCGCAGCGCGCGCCCCACCCGTGAGGCACATCGAGAGATGTCAGGCACGGTGTGCCAAGTTGGAGGCAATGCTGAAGGCAGTGCACGGAGAAATTCAGGGTCTTACAGACCAGGTCGCGGCTGAACAACGGGTGAAGGACTCGGCCCTCTAAAGCCACACCAGCAAGAGGGCGCAGCACAAGACCGCGTGTTCATCTGTCTCAGGTGTGCGCAAGTCCTATCAGCAAGGCTGACACTGTGACGATATAGTTGAGACAGTGTCCAAACCATCGCCTACCCTCACTTGGGCTTTGCAAGGTGCTTTCCTCTTGGCTGGGGGACTACGCGCCGGAGGTCAATAGCAGCTTTAGCCATCCCACTGCACTGACAATCGGTATGTGTTTCGGTATGAGCATTTTGCTGATTTGGTGCGAATACACAGGAATTGATTCTGCACTCCTCATGGACGCCTGCAGTTTCCGCGTGAGAAAGCAAGACTACAAGGCAGAGCTATCTTCTTTGTGTACTTGGTTTTGAGCCCGGTTGGCATGAGAGCCTCTCCACACACGCCATCGTGGATCGCTTGTACTCGCAAGAAGCTGGTCTTGAGTCAGATGAAGAAAATTTTGTGACAGGGTTTGACGTTTTCATCGATCCGCGTGATTTGACACCGGACTTGATGGATGGTCGCCAGGTGAGCATTCACCAGTTCACTCCGGTCGAAGGAAGGATGATCTCTGTCTTTCTCTGTGTGGAAACCAACGCAAGATCATGTCAGGTCTGTTTGACCTGCCTGTATCTAATTCTATTCTCACGGTACTAGACCTGGTTGAACAATGCCAGTCACGAGCCAGGTGTATTGTGTCCTTTACTGGAATGATCTTTCTACTTGACATCCAGCAGGTTCTCCAAGCAGGTAGCAGAATAGACATAGAGGTTCGCCTTGAGGAGACATGCGCATCTACGAAGCTTTTCTGCAAGTGGTCGATCCGCGATCAGGTCCTACTGACCTGCGCTCTGAGATTGAGGAAACTGGTCTTATGCAGGTGTCTGCAGGTTCTCGTGATACCAGACAGTATAGAAGTCCTACTTGGAGCATTGCGGAGAAATCGGCGAGAGATGTCTTTGGTTCGATCCTTTGCTGTTCATGTTGTTGCCGGGGATGGATATTGTCCTACGAGATGTCTTGGCACGGTGTTGTGATTCTCATTTGATCGATGAGAGGACTTTTCTCGACTGGTTAGATTCGTTGCCACGTACCTTGCGTGGGCCTGCCCGGTGCTCTCGCGCTAGAGTCCGTCTTGACAAGGACATCATCGGCAAGTCCCTTGCTTTGTGAAGTACAAGCCTGAGGGACTCCCCTGGGTACAGCAGATAGTCCATGTTACTTCGGTCAAACCAGTCCGAGATTTTGTTCGATTCTTTGACTGGCAGACCTTTGAGGTGGCCTGGATTCCTGCCACTGTACGTGTCATTCAGCAACTAGAAGATGTATTCAAAGAATGCAACCCGAATCAGTTTGAGTTGAATGCCTATGACAATCTCTTACAAGAACAAGAGATTGCATCTAGGATGACCTTTCAGTCTCCTAGTGCCACTATTTTATTCTTCTGACAATGAGGACACAGAGACAACTTTCGTGCAACTCTCTTCTCAAGCTCATCCGGACTTTGTTCCTTGAGGAGATAGCGCTGCAACCCTGTATATGAGCTGCTGGCCCTGCAGTCAAATGAAGGTGGAGACCGCAAAGCAAGCTTACTATCAGGTCGCAAGAGACGTTTTGTGGTTCAGGGACTGGCCTGAGCCCAAGCAACAACACTATCTTCGGAGCCTTACTTGTCCTCCACGCATGAAGAAATTGCTTCGTGGCCGCTTTTGTTCTTTAAACCCGCTTGAGAGCTGCCAAACAATTACGAGTAACTACACAGTCCCTTTTTGCGAACGTCTGGTGTACACAATGGGAGTCCACAACCTGTTGTGGGCGTTTGCATTTTGCGACGTCATCACGGAGCTCAGGGAAGAATTCCAGCAGTCTCACTGTCACATAGCAGTGAACCTGCCCCTCGTAGCTCCCTTCAACATGGTGAACTGCTCTAGAGAGCATTTGCGGGCGTCGGCGTGGAGCTCAATCTCGGCAAAGGCAAGACCGAGGTGCTGTGGGCCAAGTTTGCGTTGACCCGACGGTATGTGATATCAAGCTTCCTTTCAAGACTACGCTGGCCAGATGCAGCAAATTCACATTGCGCAGACCTACAAACATCTTAGCAGCATTTTAGGACACGAATTTCGTGCTTCCTGCTGGTCCTTCTACACGACCAGGATTTCAAACGGTTCGCTACCATATTCTTCCGTATGTTACGAATGATGCGATCGATGGATGCCAAGAAATTGAGGTCTCCAATGAAGACGTACTCGCCAGCTTATGGCTCCTGCGCCCAAGAACTATCTTGCGGATTGAGGCTTCGACGTCTGCAAAAGATTTGCCAATTTGCCGATGAATCCGGGGGCTTCAGGAGGCCGAATACTGTTGGATCAAGCTTGCTCACCGCGATCTGGTATGGTTCAAAAGCGCCTGCCTGGTTCAAAGCGCCGTTTGATAGCATCGAAACCATTGCACCAGTCCTGGCAACACGCGCTAGAGAGTGGAAACTTGCCCTCAACAACTTCGATGGGCAGAAGCGCTTGCGTTTGAGAAGCAAGCCTTAGAACAGCTGAGAGGGATCGGACTTGAGCGGCTCGACATCTCTGGCAACACAGATGGAAAGAATGCCAAAGGAACCTTCCAGTGTGTTGACTGCAACGCCTTTTGGCACAGCCACGGCACTAGGTGTTCACTGCCATAGCGCAGGACCGAAGCCATAGCGGGCCACACTTCGTCCACCTTAGCGCGACAGATGATCTCGAAAAGGCTGCTGTGCAATACATGCTCAATCCTATTCCTGTGGATCAGTCGATTACCGACTTCCTTCACGTTGCGCAGCAAGTCATGCCTTTTCTGGCCGAAGAAGCTCGGCAGAGCATCCTGTGCGCGCGCAAGGTAATGCAATGTATGGGAAGGGCCTTAATGTTCAAAGCATACCCAATACATTCTAGACCAGAGAATGTTTCGGCTAGCAGCGAACGCAAGACGACCATTTAGTTTTAGTGGCAGAGAAGGAGATTCCAGGATGTTCAATTACTGGATCGAAGAGCCGCGTCAAGCATGGTCAGTGAAGAGTGCAACCTACTATAGACTCGAATGCCCAGGCTACTCTGCAGTTCACGGACGCTCTAATGGGAGGAAGGCCAGCGGTTCATTCGCAACGGCGGAGTTAAAAGAATACCCATCACCGTTGTGCAGAGCGATCGATGGCTCAAGCAGTGATCGACCAATCCCTGAGCAGGAAGGGTGACACGAGCCAGAGCTTTGAGGAGGTCCAGGACGAGGTCGTTATCTGTGGGGCTGAGACCGTGCTTTGCGCTGCACTGGTGCCCTCGGACCCATATTTCCTCTCTTCTATATTCGCAGATTTATTCGCAGATTTATTCGCAGATTCTGCGCGCAAGAAGAGAAACACTCCGGTCGCTTGGACTGTCGAGTGAGGTCTCACCAATTCCCCCAAAGTGGCTACTAGACTCCGTTTGCGAGCCAAAAACATTTTCCACATGCCTTTAGTTCTCATCTTTATTTAGCGCTCTGCCTTTGCAACTCGGGGGACCTGGGGGTGGAGCCATTGACTTCCATCGCAGGTCTCTGCTGGCAGTTTAGTGGCGGTCCAGGAATCCAACAACGTCGAGATCCAGGGCGGATGGTCCGCGGCCTTTGGGTGGAGTTGAGTAGCTTGGGAGTTCAGGATCCGAAGGCATCTTTGGAACGAATTATTTTAAATGAGTTTGGAGGCCATCGCTCTTAGGTTGGAGGATTTCGGAGGCCATCGCTAGAAGGTTGGAGGCCATTCTCAGTGACTGCAGCGACTTGCAAAGGTGTCCGGTGGCCAACATTGTGGTGCAGGAAGGTCCAGAGAAGGGCAAGTCTGGATGGGTCATGGAGCTTAGTTGCGCACACGCATAGGACAAAGCTACCGGCACCTGGGACCCGCAGTTTGAACAGTCCTTGAACCCGGGCCGAGTACAAGAACCCTTTGTAAGTTTCGGATTCATGATCCCACAGCTAGACACCAGGCCCTTGGGATAAGGTCCGGTGCACTGCCAAAGATGGGCATGATGTGGTGCTGCCGACATGGTGTTGTTTTAGTTGGCTTTGTTCATGGCTCAAGGTTTCTTGCTCTTAATTGGTCGACGAAACTGTTATGCCAGATGGACACACGCGATCACAATGAGTACGACAAGATCATTCAAAAGATGAGAGAGCCGTGGCCCCAAGGTCTCACCATGGCTGCCCTAATCACAATGGCCTCCAACCTAATAGCCCATTAGCGTTGTCCTCCAACCTAGCGATGACCTCCAACCTAATAGCAGTGGCCTCCAACCGAAGAGCGATG